CCCCATTTATGAGAGCTGCTTACAGCCACCGCCCAATGCAGCGCCGAAGCTATTTTTTAGGGCAGCGCCAATAGGAATTGATATGGTATTTTTCTGTGCCATTAGAAGAAAATGTAAGGATTAAGACCAGCATTATGAAGGGCAGGATTACATTTAAAAATCTGGTCACTTTTAGGATTGATGCAGTGATCTTTTGCTCTCTTTCAGAGCCGTGGTTTTCTTCCACGTGATATGACATGACCACCAGTTTTAACGCCAGTTTGCTAGCCTAGGCGACAATGCGTATGCCATGTACCTGCATTGACAGGTCATATAACATGTCATCCCATTTTTCCTTACCTGCTTTGTTGAGATATTTTGTGGATTTGCCTTTCTCCGTAAGGCGCAGCACACAATCGTGCAAGAACGCATAGCCATGAATCACGCTGGGAATAGACAGCAATCCTGCAGGGGGTAGGGTAAATCCGAAAAAGCACGGTATCGATGCGCCGTTAAAGAAGCCCTTGGGAATGAGAAGCTTCGTTCCATCTTTGGTGGTGAATTGTCCAATCTTCGCAGATTTCCCATTCACGCCCTAGGGCAATCTATATATACAAGACTTTCCATACGTTTTTTATACCTTTTGGTAGCCAGTGGTACCGGTTGAAGCACAGGCTGTTTGTAAGATGCTGTTTGTTTCATCTTTTCATACTCCTATTGTTGTTTTGATAAAATTTCAGGGCGCTTTATGGCACGCACTCTAGCAAGCAGGTAATAGATATCCTCAACCTACTGCACCTTGCTGTAAGGCAGCGTCAGTGTATTTGCGGCGAAATCATAGGCAGATGGCTTCCATGCTACTTTAAAGACATCTGATGTTGTGACGTTGTAGAGAATTTAGATCTTTTCAGCATTCGGTATAATTTGAATGCGCTGGTTTCCGCAGTCAGCCACCAGATATCTGTCAGGCGCAAGTGCAATTACATCCCAAATATCTTGAAACTCGTCGATCCTGTGCAGACCTTGCTTGCAGTCATCTCATGTGCTATGGCCGACATGCCATTTGTAATCACGATCGTCAACGCCAATTGTCACCGGCATTTTCGGGCCATTGCAAACAGTCACCAATTACGTTTCATCAGGCGATACGATAACGTCATGCCGCGGGGTAGGATGTATCTGTCTCAAAGCCAGTGGCCTTGCTATAGGTTTCGATGTATTCCCACGCTTGAGGATTCCATACGCCCATATGGTGCTTGTTGTATGAGCTGATATATAACCGGCCATCTGCGAGTATCGCGCTCGGGATGGATGCGATGTTCCATGCTTCCAACCATTGCCGTTTCTTTGTATATCACACGGCTTTTGAACAATGATCCGGTCAGGCCGCTATGGCCATGTCCGGTGGCTTCCTCATCCGTATCAGGATCATATACAAAACCGTTATAACCGGTGATTAAGACATTGCCGTTTGGTAGCAGTTCAACATCCTGTGGGTTGTAGAGTTTGTTGTCTTTGAGATTACCTGCGCTGCCGTTGCCGTGCTGCCAAAGAAATTCACCAGTTGAAAGCTTGAAAGCGCGAACCATATGCCGCCATTCCACGCAGATAAAGATCCGGTCATTATCCTCATCTGCCGCGAGACTGTGGACATAGAGATAGTTATCTGCCTCTTTGTTTGGGTCAGCGTGTTCGCCAATCCAACCAGTAATGAAAAGTTAGTGTCAAATCGTGCGATGGACTTGCTGTATGAGATCCATATCTCATTGCCAACCAGACGGATACAGGAAGGCTGGCTTACCAGCCCATCACGATAGGCTGATATGGCTGTGCCATAACCTTGCAGGAGTTCATTAACGGAGTAGCAGGGAGTAACAGGCGCGACCTTTACCCCAGTTCTTGTGATCATCATAGGATGCTTCTTGCAAAAGATAATTCAGCATTACTCACCAAGATTGAAAGCTTTTCTAAGCTGCGAATTCTTTTTGATGCTTTGTAAAAATGCAGTTATTGCGCTCATATTAAAACCTTTTCTTATGATTTTTTGGAGAGAGCTTTGGCTTCGTTAAGCCACTCTATGAATTGCAGGCAAGCGCGAGAAACGCGGTCCATCGAAATCCTCCACGCACAAACACCCCGATAAAACCAACCTGACGGCTGTTTCTGTTTGGGAATGGTTGCAGCTGGGCAGCCGATTCTTGCTCTTGAAAACAAGATTGGTCAGATCATGGTGCCGGATAATGTTCTGGGCGGGAAATGCTTTGCGCTCAAAGTGCAAGGCGGCAGCATGATTGATGCTGATATTTGCGAGGGCGATTATGTCATAGTGCGCCAAGAACTGATTGCTGAAGACAGCGATATTGTTGTGGCCATGGATTCGACTTCGTTGAAGCCTTGTTCTTTATTCAGGAGATGTCTGACGATGAGCATTTTGAAGAATTGAGCGAACAGGCCGAGGCCAACACAATATCGCTATACATGAAGATCAACAGCAGACGATTTGGCATTGGCATTATGGCTGCACGATCCTGGACTTTTGAAGCGTCCTCATGCGGAGGTGATGATTCTCAAGCCCAAATCATTCATGTACTTCCAGTCGAATCAAAAATCGCCCGATATTTTGCTCTTCCAAAACCAAAAACCATGCGGACGCTGGAAGCGGATATGGATATATGGTTTTTGAAAAATAAACGCGGCACTGGCTGTCGCATTTTGCCCGTTAGCGTAGAGGACGAAGACAAGACATACTTTCTGGTCCGTCATGGCATGCCGTTCAAACGTGAGGGCGAGATTAAATCCGGGTAATCCAAGACCATTTTTTTACCGCCCGGAGTTTCACTATGTGATCGTCTATGATCGCGCTAATAATGAACTGGCCGTCTTTAATAAGTCAGGTGCCAAGAAAGAGCGCGCCATGTATTTAGATTTGTTCAGCCAGCATCTCTTCGGTCAGGCTGAATATTTCCCGGGCGCAGAAAAATATACATTGCAGCCACTCATCGATAATGGCGTTGATGCTTTGGCCTGTGCCGATATTGATGGGCTGGAAGATATTAAATTAGTCGAAATTCAATACCAGTTTCTGGGTCCTTATAATGACAGCAGATGTTACGCTCAAGCGATGTGTTTGCGTCGTTAGCCTCAAGAGATCGCGAATTTCCAAATTTTGGCAGATTGGTGTCCGCCAGTTTTTCGGTGAAGTTTGAAAACGCCAAGCGCCCACGCATGGTCAAGGCGCGAGCACCGAACGTGGACATTTTGACTCTAAGGAAGATTCTTACCTGCTTGAAACATGGCTGCGAAAGCGTGGCTTTGTGAATGAGCAGCAAGAGAAAAGCGATAGCACGCAACCCGTAACAGCCATGACACCGTATCAATCGCCCCCATGGCGTAAACTGACAGATCTTTCTGTTGGCAAGGGCGCAAAAGATGAATGGCAGGACTTTCCTCCGGAAGAGTTCCTCTCAATCACCAATGAGCAAGCAACATCCATTCCCTGTAATGGCCGAGCCGGATGCCACATGAGGGCAGCAAGCAGTGAATCGTCGCGCGCTCAAAAAATCAGAACTTGCACTGCATTGCATTGATCACAAAAAGTTGGCTACCAAGGTTGCTGCCGCCATTGGTTTACTGGACAACATGAAAAGGTCACAGGCCCATACACCATACAGTCCTTTGGAAATCTGGTGTGCTGAATCCGCAAGCCGAGCATAGCTTTCCTGCCTATTGCTTTTTAGGCCAGACACCATCGCAGCTGGATAAAATCATCAATCAGCTTGTATGGGCGAGCAGACGTTTCTGTTGATTGCCGCAAGCAGCAGCCCCAAATCCAAGCTCATCGGCATAATAGATGACGTCCTTGCCGTTGATGCTGCAGCCAAGGTCACAGCGAAGGAGAGTGCTCAAACCATCGTCTCCAATTGGCTTGAAACGGTGTTGCCAAAATCTTCCAAGCCGTGGATCGTAATATCAATCCCCGACACCAGCAGGCGCAACATGGGAGCAGCTTGTATTCGAATGCACCAAAGATGTTGTTGGTCTCATGCGGACGAATTCAAGAACGGCTGGTGAGCACTTGAAGATGAAGAACCAGAGAATTCCAGCAAGCCGACGCTGCAATGGACATTGTTACATTCTCTCGCCACAACAGGTGGCAGCATCTCATGGCAAGATCAGTACGCCACTGATCGCGTTAAAAAGCAGAAGCAGGAATTAGCAAATAAGCTCGAACAAACCTTTGGCCTTTCGGAAGGCCCGGTCCCCCTTGGAGTGAGAGGTATAAAGCATACAAAATAAAGTTTGTCGTTAAAGCCGCCGATAATGTGCTACGCCAACTCACTGGTTGGCAATGAGAGGTATAGACTGGTGCGAACTGGTCAATTGCCAAGCCATTGATTTCACATGACTAAAAGCTCCGTACTTCGCTTTTTCCAAGTACGGTGTTTTTCAGGAAAGGGGCGTATATAGGAGAAAAATTAGAGAAGAACGGACTGTTTTTATAGAGAGGAAGTCAATTGCAAACAGTAAAAAGCCGGCAAACGCTGGGCTTTTGAGGCTATGCCATCTCGGGCATATGGAAGTTTGTCAGTAGTCAATGGCGGAAGGAGAGGGATTCGAACCCTCGATGCAACTTACTAGTCACATAACGGTTTAGCAAACCGCCGCCTTAAGCCACTCGGCCATCCCTCCAAACATACAAGCACACATTATACAGAAAATTTAGATAAAATCTACTGCTCTTTGCCAGATTCTACTGCTAGATTATCCAATTGTGCTGCCTCAATCTTGCTTTATGGGTTTGCAATTCTGAAAGCATGGATGCATTGATTGAGATGGAGTATTTTACTGTATGCTCGGACTACCCTTTGCATCCCCGTACGCTAACTTTGGTCGCATCACATACAACGGAGTCATACGTTTTATACCCCCCCCTCTCTGATATCAAATAGAGCAGAATAATGCTTACGCCTAGCTAGTGTAATAAGCCTGCATCACTCTTTTATCTTCCTTGCTTACAGCCTTGCGAAATTGAATTTGACTTGCAGTGGTTCATCTGAAGCACGATTTAATTCAATAGCATATCATTATATTCCCTTCATATATACTACGACATGAACGATCGCAGTGCGTTAAATAGTAGTAATAATAGCCTCATCATCCTCAAATAGCCCCAGAACTACATGATTATAGGAGTGGATCATCATGTTAATGCCTCATTCCTCTCAACATTTAATCTGTAATTTTTGCGATAAGCTTTTTATACTTGTTGAGCTGTTTCTAACATCCCTTTGTCCTGCTATTATATTTTTTTGTAAGAATTCTAATATATCACTCTTATTAAGGCAGGGATAGCTTATTTTGAGATCATTATCTATTGCCACATCTCTGTTATCTCCTCGACTATGTTATCAATCACAACACTACACATCATCAGCACGAAGATCAGCTAGCTTTGAGATGTCCTCCTGAAGACAGTAATATCTCTTTTTATACTCCTGTGTATAAAAAGCCTCTCTCTCTTTATCATATTCTAGTATCTTCGTAATTGGAGTCTTCAGAGCTTATACATTCATCTTCGTGTATTGATAATTCTGATCATTTAGAGGGCCTTTCAGATAATTATACGCAACAAGCTTGCATATTATGATCTAAGCTTGTCCTGTGTAACCTCTAAGCCTAATCTTCGGTAGCTTGTTGATCTCTTTATAGTCGCTCTTCCTTTTCCAAGATCACATTTTACTGCTCTGCTAATATTTTGTAAAACGCTGTATTGTCTCTCATTAATAATAGGTGTTAGCTCCTCCTGAGAAACGTTTTTTGACTTTTCCTCCTTATTCACGATTATTAACTGGTTATCAGAATAGCCCCACTAGCATCATTATTGCTGTTGATGCTAATTTCTTTGCTATATTTCATGGACTGTATTGAATCCATCCTCTACGGCAACCACTGCTTCTATCTTACTTGCCCATATACTACACCTAGTTTAGTTAAACTAGATCAACTTTGCTAATATAATTCATATTCTTGTCAAACTTTCTTATCTCAGATGACACTAAAATGCATTCTCTTGTGACTTAATGCAATAAGTAGCTTTTTAAGCTACAATTCTCTTTGTTAGTAGTTGAATTGCAAATTGACAAAAAAAATTGTAGACCTCTTAATACGATATCCTTACAGTTAAATCAATTAAGAATTCTTAATTGATTTAACCTATTCAAGAAATACACTATTTTATCTGCCGCTCTTTCCTTCCTGAGATCACTGCGTAAAACTAATCAGACTGTAGACCACGTTCATGCCCCGTTGCGCTCTCCGCTTGGGGTTTGTCTAGAGTATCTCCTGGAACTGAGTTGGCTCTGCTTGTCTCATAGTAAGCCTCCTCGTAATACCTTTCTGCAGGTGATTCATCATCTCCACTTAGAAGTGACTCCTGATCTTCCAGGTCTATATCACCTAGAAGTGGCTCCTGATCTTCCAGGTTTATATTACTCCCCTGGTCTTCTGCCTTACCTATTGCCTGATGCACTAACTCCCGCAAATTATCATATACCTTTCCCCCTGCGGTTTTTATTTTTGTAGGAATTGTTTTTGCGTTGTCATATACATTTTCCCCTGCGGTTTTTACTGTTGTAGGAATTGCTTTTAGGTTCTCCTGTATAGTATTCAACAGATCTCGATTACCCTCTTCCTTTGCGTTATTATCATAAATTGACTTTATAAGAAATGCAAATGCTAGTATGCCAACGCCAGTTGCCGCTCCTGCTCCTATTGCTGTCATAATGAAAGAATTTATTATTCGCTGATCACTCTCTGGGAGCTCAGAAAGACTTTCAAAAGCTTGAATATTCTCAGAATCCAAATCACCTAAGTCAACTTCTTTTACTTCTGGAGGTATTTGTTGTACGCCGCCTCTTGACTCACCTGTAACAATATTTGCAAAACCTTCTGGTCCTGTAACAATATTTGCAGAACCTTCTCTTCCTGTAAATGTAGTACTCATATCCACCTCATTAATTAATCATAACTTTAGTATACCACTGAAATATTAAAATATTATCAGTTTCGTCATCTAATACACAGTTAAACTAAGTTTTATGCTCTTGTGATATAATGCAACAAGCAGCTTCTTAATCTGTAATTCTCTTTTGTTACTAATTATATTGCAAATTAACATAAGAATAGTAAGCTTTTCTTCATATGATACCCTTATAGTTGAGTCAATTAATAATTCTTAATTGAATTTAACCTATTCAAGCAATATACTCTTTATATAGTATCTTTCGTTATTCTTTCCCTTCTATAGGATCCTACTTAGAGCTATTTACCGCACGTCTTAGAGTCGCTTTTTACTTGACTCTGCACATTTATCTTCTCCATACTATTTAATGGCTCTCGGCTATCATCACTACCCAAGGATGCGGTGGACACTAACGGAACATGTGTACCTGCTGCAAAACACTCATCATCTTGCTCTCGACCTTGAGGCATAGCAGAGGAAGTGCTAGCACCAGCAGCATTTTCATCTTCTCCATCCTCACTTGACTCGTCACATTTTGAGTGTTGCTTATTTTGCTTCGATATCTTGTTGCTCAATGCTTTGATGACGGGATAGTTAGATACACCGATAGCTAACTGTTCTATGGGAGTGAGGTGTACGGGATCAGCATCATCTATACCACCTACATCGTTTGGTGCCAGGATCTTGTTGCTCAATACTTTGTATACACTGGTAGCTAACCGTTCTATGATAGTGAGGTCTACAGCATCAGCATCATCTACATCGCTGTTTAAGCTGGGCTCCAAATTGACGTGCGTCGTAGATGGAGTAGTTGATCCTAGTCCATTCTCCTCTCCATCATTCACATTATCATGTTGCCCCCTTAGGGGTACATCAGAATGATTATCTTCATAATTCGCTTCTGCATTCTCCTGGTTTGATGCTGATCCATGATTCTGATCTCCGCCTGCTACAACATTACTCTCTGCATCATTCCCATCATCAAGCCGACCTGGGGTTACCACATCAGCCTGCTCTTCATTATTCGCTAAAGGCGCCTGGTTTGGTCCTGATCCGTTCTCCTCTACAGGGTTGTTCGGATCTTTGTCCCATAGCTGGCCCAGCTGGGCATATGCTTCTTCCAGACCTTTTGTCACGCTTTTAGGAGCTTCTTTTATGTTTTTCCCTAAAATATCAGAAAACGATCGCTTATCATTAGACTCTCTATTCTTATACTCCATATATGATTTTGCAACTAAACTAATCGTTAATAAGAGAATAGACACTCCCCCTACTAACGCTATTGCCCTAATGAATGTATTTAGTATGTCCTGATCAGCTTCTGGTAAATCAGGCAAGATGCCCTTAATGCCTAGTTCTGGCTGATCAGCCTCTAGTAAATCAGGCAGGGTATACTCTGGTGGTTTCTTTACTGCGCTTGCTTTACTTGCTGTGCTTGTTATCATCTGATTTGCTAGACCTTCTCGTCCCGTTCCTATCTCATATCCTGTCATAACATCTTTCCTTTAGATCTTTTATAACCACTATTATACCAATAACCCCCTAAAATAGGGTAAAAATCTTCGCAATTATAACAAACTTATTCTACAGATCTTCCCAGAGCAAGATATTTGGCTCTCGGCTGTCTAGCTATTATTAAGGAATGACAAATAGTCATAGCAGGAATCGTGATATTATTTAAATATCGGTTGCTATACTCATATATATTGCCACGCAAGGATAAAATCCCTTTGTCGAGTCTTAATGCAGAAGCAGATATCCCTCCCATGAGAACTATAAGTTTTGGTTGTATAAGAAGAATATGTTCTTTAAAAAATGGCAAACAAATTTCTATCTCATCTTGTCTTAGATTTCTATTCAATTAGATCTTCATCAGAAAACACTGTATTATTGGCAATATCTTTGAAAGTACACCTATTACAAAATGAGATACCTAGATGTTTTTTTTCTATACAAGTATTCACAGGAAGGAAACACTTTTATCTTGATGAAATTGAAACAGATCCTCTGTTCTCTGTATGAGTTGTCTCAACTTTTTTTTATGCTAAATCTACATGCTTAATAACATCGCTGTAATTGCTCATACAAATCAATTGCCATACTAGCATAATTTATTACTAAAACGATATCATCTAAATTATTCCATATAATCATTACTTCATTTTACACTTAAGTAGTTGCTATTCTTATCACCATCTATAGTGCACGCAGATAATATCCCGTCCTTGGGGCAATCGGATCTTTGGAGCACCTTGTTTAGGTGTAGTCCAGTAAACTTCTTGAGGTCATAAAGTATAAACACAACAGAGGCTACTGAGCATAGTATACATGCCCATAGATACTCCAATTGAATTTGAGAGATAGGCTTCGTATCAGATGCAACTAAAGCATCCGCTTGCTTTACAAGAAATTTAGAGTCTCGCCTGATCTGTCTTGCTTTTTTTATGTCTTTGTGATTAGAAACTTTGTTTTTTTCTTGTATATCCTGTAAAACTTCTCCCCCGTAATGTTCCTCTTCATGTGCATCATGTGCATCTTGTTCATCATGTTCTTCTTCATTTGAATCCAGCTCTCTTTCTCTCTGCTTCGCCATAAAAAATACAAAAACAACTTGCCTATGATCGTATTGTAGTGCATTTGTGTTAAATATAAGTATCATATCCTTGAA